TAGACCATTGAGCCACTGAGACCCGATCCAATGGTTCTTGAATTCTAACTTCTGCCAATTCACGACATAGCGCGACCACTTCGCAATGTCTTCTTCGATGAGTTACTGCCTCATCTTCCACCTGCTGTACCCTACTGGTCACGGCTTCCCACTAGAACCCCAGGTTAACTGCCTGAATAGAGCCAGTCTTTAGTGAGCATCAGATTAATTTTCAAGTATTGGTTTTGTAGGGATTTTGTTTGATTGTATGAAGGATTTAATCTACTTTATTCCAAGAACAGTACTTTTAATACAGAATGGAATTCTCAACATTTATCACAATACGCTGCATCAGATTTACTAAAAAATATAAATAAAATTAAAAATTAAAACAAAGTTAACTAGAGGAATTTGTCCACGTTTACGATATAAAGTCAAAAATATTCGAAGCACGAATTGAGATTATTAAATATAATAATAATAACGGTGAGTTTGTTTCAAACAGTAGTGTCGATTCAGTTTGGAAATTTTAGGAGTTTATAGATTATTGAATCTAATGTTCTGTTGACATAGCATCATGGTGAGGGGAAATACAAAATTAACAGTTATAACACAGCTTAAATTATGTTCACACTTATAAGAAAATAAATAAAATAAAAACAAAACTTTGAGAGGATTATAGATATAAGAAATACAATAAAAATAAAGGTTGGTGTTGTAAGGATGGAGGAAAATGGTTTATTTAGTAGTGCAAGAAGGTTAGTTAGTTCATACCTGACACTATTTTCATCACATAAAGTACGTGCCAACATATATGGCATAGTGGGATTTTTATACTTGGACGTACGTGCATAAAGTCTTCTGAAAAGACATCTTGTTTTACCTGAGGAGACACAAGGTTGGAGCTGCGGGTAAAGTGGGTGCTCACAGACTGACAAAATTTCTTTAGCAAATTTGTTGCATGACATCAAGTGCCTGTCAGTGACAATGTCAACGCTGGAGCCTAATGGGATACCACTAGCCCTACTGACAGTCTTCATAGTTCTAAGGATTATCACATGGTATTTTTTAAGCAATCCAGTAGAGAATAAACATAGGTGAACAGTAAAGAAGAATAGGTAAAATATATGAGTTGACAAACTGGAAGAGGCGAAGTGGTTGGGTTATGCCTGAGCGCCTTAACTTCCTAATGTTAAAAGTCAAACGAAATATTTTTTTAGAAATCGCTAAGATATGGGAAGACCAGGATAAGTCAGTAGAAAGAATTAGTCCGAGATACTTAACTTCAAACTTGCAAGGGTCATAGGAATCATTAGCTTCATTTAAATTTATTTTACATCAGAAACTGAAATTAATATATATATATATATATTAGAGTAGAGGGAGAGATGAGTAATATCATGGGTGGTAGCAACCAGCTAACCTTGTCTCACTTCTGTTTCCACCTCAAAGACTTTCATGGGTTTTCCGTTGTGGGTCATTTGATATGTGACATTGTCATATAACCAACTGTTAAATAAAGTAGATAAAGATTTGAGAATTGACATAAGGTTGAAGTGGCTTCCAATTTTTACTTCATACCTAACTCTATCAGAGGCCTTTTTAAAGTGTATGAAGCTGAGGTAGTAGTGCAACATAGTACACTAATAGCGTGGCAGATTGCATTATGATTCCCTTGTAGAATAAAAGACATCCAGGGATACATGAGTGTTTACCGATGCTGTTTCCAGCATAGTGTATTACTGCTTATGGCCATATAAAAGTATTCCCAACATTAGCCTGTTTATTTTATAACTAACTTGATTCCCTATAGAGCATAGAGAAGGAGTCTTCAGTGCTAACATTGTGGCCTGTTTGGACAAGACGATCCATTCTAGAACTGTTGATGGTTTCAACAACCCCTTTAATTAGTTAGCCACACTGTTAGGTGTTCCAGAGCATAAAAAATTAGGTCCCCAAGGGAACAATCAATATAACTGTCTTTTTACAGGGAGCAGTTGGACTGACAGATATAAACAGAGGTGGCTAGCCCGGGTAATTCATCTTGCAGTTGTAGAACCATCACCAATTGTGTGAAAAATATAAGCTTCAGCCTGCAGGAATGAAATAATCTTTGAGTTCGTTATATCAACGTGTTGGTTATTATTTCAACTGGTATATGACCTTTGAGTTGTAGTCATGTATATAAAAAGGCTTCTTGTTAATCGATACAGAGGAATTTTTTTTAACTCTCTTAGCCCTGTGTTTAGGGATGAAGTTTACACGGTGGCTGTTTTGAATTAACGTGTCGTTCGTTTACAACTTTAAGTTCGTCTTAAATCTCATCTTTACGAATAACTCTTACAGTAAAGATGGGTTTCTTTTAGCAAATATATATTTTATACCGGAGAGTAATAAAGCGGTAACAATGTATACATCGATCAGTTCAAGTATGTTTTTACACAGATTACTTTTCATACAACTTTTCATACTTTTCAGCAAGACGTCTGAAAAAGCGACTTTACTCTGGAAGTCTACTTCTGCTCACAGGAATTCGATAAGTGCGAATGTACTTCATTGAATTGAGATATAATAGCATTCCAAACCATGTTCATCATAGATGAAAATATCATCAGTTAACCAGTAATAAGATAATAATTTTCTGATAGGGTTGTTCAGAGAACTATTTGCTAGCTTACTCAGAAAGAAATCTGCTGGCATGTGACCTAATGAAGAGCCTACTGATACCCTATTCACCTGTTTCGCAATTCATAATGGGCATCAGTAATCAGTTAAATTATTTAACCATAAGCTAGTTGATACTGGATAAGTACCCTGCTGATGTTACTCCCAAATGCATTTAAAAAACTTACGTGCACCTGTGGCAGCAAGAACATTGGAAGGACAGAAAGAAGGACTTCTATCCGCTTTTCAGAGCATAATCCAAGATACTTATGCTTAAAATGAAAGCAGATATTTACAAAGTGCAATTACTAGACACCACCCTGTGGATACGGGTCATTTTGTAGAGATTTACAAATCCTTCAAAATATTTAACAAACAAAGGACAGAGAATTTACTTTGATTTACTGCTGAAACAATTGCAATCGGACGTTTCAGACCAAACTTATGCATACAGAAAGAGAGCGTAGTCAATCTTTCACTCCCTTGGTAACCATATCACTTTCATTACACTGATTTGTCATACACACTAATGGGCTCAACTCAATAAACAAGTTTTCAAATTTGAACTTCTTGGGCGGCCATGTTGAAGTACAAGCTAACACTGTTTATTAGATTTTTCTGTTTTCTGTCCTCTCACCCCCCTTTTTTTTCTTTCATAGTTTGATAGCATATAGATTGATGGTAGCTTAAACTAAAAATTGTAATACTTATATTTCGGATTTTTTTTTCTCTATTACCTTACAAACATTGAAGTATGAAATCTTATTATTTCTAACCATTGTAATTTCAGGCAGTTTTCAGCTGATAAGAACCTGTGAAATAGAATGATGATATCATTTTATAGTGCCAAATGTAGTCTTTCTTTCTTTATCGCAATTTATCAAGGGAACCAAAATGTATGAAATATTTAACCAGTATTATGATTAAAACTGATCCGAGCTTTTGTCAAGCATCCAGATCACAGAGATCTTGGACCTGTAGCTGATTTTAGTAGACTTGGCCTAATACACAGAATACAATGCACTGTAACCGTCACAGAACAACAGGAAACGGTTGGGTAACACAAATGTTCATTCTTCAAGCGATAACAAAACAGATTTACAATGACTAATCAGTGCCAGTGTCTGTAAATAAACGTTAATATAATGTGCGACAATACTTCTGATCGAATTTCCTCAATTTCCTGCCAACCAGTACGCAATTAAGCAGTGGTAGCCTTCTAATCTCCCGCCAAAATAGAGACCAAATCAGACAAACAAACGATTCAATGTTCAACAGAACTGACAGCTTCTCTTGATAAATAACCACGAAAGATCTTAGTAACCATTGACTGAATGAGTCTATATCCCTCCCCCGTCCGTTCCCTTATTATTCTTTGCTTCTTATAGCAGTGTAAGAGACTGAGTAACGGAAAAAACCATATATAATACATTCTTAGCCACATTAAAGTTTGGCTGAGTCAGAGGCGAATGCATTGTAATGATTAGTTGGCAATTCACCCAAGGTTAAACAAGTTATCCAATGAGGCTATCTCGTGTTCATAACGTAAACTAAATCCAGATTTGTAGAATAAACATTTCTTCCTTCGCAGCTATTGACTGTAAATGTCAATTTTACCCGGCTGCTATCATTCTGCATCAGGCCACACTTATATCCACCTCCATCAAGTGGTTTCGAGCTAAGCCGGCTTGATCATCTTGGTGTTATCTAATCTTGTTGAGTCTTCTTCTTGACTTGCTTATCCCACTCTTTCTATATCTGGAGTCAGCTGGCGTTAGAAAGTTTCTGTTTGTCTCCTCTTCTGATAGTATGGAAGGGACCATGTCTCTCAATGACAATGTAGTTTCTTTCCTAAGTCTCCTCATCATCTACTCTCTCCCATTTTAGCCTAACCTCTTAGCTGCGCCCTGAGTACCTGTGGTCTTCGCCACCCGATCCTGGACGCTTCCTAACCCAGCAACACCATCAAAGTCCCGTGAAATGCACTGTACATCTCAGCCATATTAAAATTCGGTTAAGTCAAAAGAGAACAAATTACCAGTACAGCCACCGACTTGAAATGTTATTTTCAGTTTTGTCCACTTCCTATCAATCTGCATCACGCGACAACAGCAGCATTTCAACACATAGTTCAGCTGATGAAAGACCAACCACCATTTGATGAAAGAGTTCCACAGCCAGACCATGTCAAGAGGAATTCACAGTCTCCAATACACACACACACACTTTCTATAAATCATAACACATGACTGATTTTAAAAATTGCCTCTATTCAAACATTTTACGAGCGAAAGTCGCACTTTGCCACATGACGTAACACAAGTCATCGTTGAAGACCAGTCAGTATTATCAGCATAGTGTGTATTTAAAGACCAGGAAAAGGATTAAACAATACTGAATCACGCGCAAATTCTGAAGAAATAGTTCGTTTTAGAATAAATCAGGTTTTAATAATAATAATAATGTTAGTATACAGATTTGAATTTTATTAATATTTGTTTTCAAGTTATCAAGTGAAATAATGTAGCCTAGAAACGTGATCTGAAATGTATATTTGTATCCTATGTGGAGAAGGAAAAAAGAAGAGGAGATTCCAGGAGCACATAATAAAGTTGGTAGTGTGTGTGCGTGTGTGTTACTGTCTATTTTACACATGAGAAGATCTCATTGTCCATCCAAGGGGTTTTATAAGCGCTGGATTGTTTGTGATAGAGAAATAATAATAATTGTAAAGGATGCTCTCGACTGAATTCGTTTTCAATAGACTCGATTTAAGTAGAGCCTAAAATGAAGGGAGAAAAAGAGTGCGATTTTTGAATGGTTCAATGTTCTTAGTATATGGAAAGGATACTATATTTTACACATAATTGTTTTTGATTAGGTAGTTGAAGACGATCGACAGGAAGCCTTCGACCCCAATTTCATGCTTGTTGGCACTCCTCGATTAGGCGCTTCGGGAATATTAAAGTAATCCATGTTCTCTCTGAGACTGGAACTCCTGTCACTCAGTTTCTCAGTCAGAGAGGCTACTGATGAGCTAGTCAGGCTCACGAGTGACCTCCTTAGGACTGTATCAGATACACACACTCAGCCATATTAACTTGTTGCATACGTCCAGTCTTTTTTCGGTCAAAATCGCACTGTGACCACCAGCAAGCTAAGTGGCTTGCCATTACGGTGAACTCATAATTATTGGCCACACTACAAACTTGACTAATAGAATTGAGTGCCCGCCAAACAAAGTCCTGGAAGCATGATACTAGTTACTAGTGTTCAGTCAAAAAAACTAATCTAAACACTAGACGGTCATTACGGCTGTTCCAGGTCAACCTTATCAGCAGTGTACCTGACTTGATTGAACTCAAAGATTTGCATTAGTTCAAATCATACGATTTCTGGATAGTTACTTGGTCGAAATGGTAACACCCTAAATCAAACTTGACATCTGCAATTCACACAGCTCGATGAGGAGAAATTTCATTACATTTTGGTTTGGGAATTGAAATTCGATCCAATGTACTTTCATTCGTCTAAATGGCTAATCAGAATTTGGGTGATTTAACCTGATTCTGCTGTTTGAGCTTATTTAAGCGGGACAAACCACTGATGTGCTTGACCCATCCAGAGGTTAGATAATTTCAGTCTGACTGGTTGATAAACACTACTGGTTGATGCGGCTGGTATTCAAATGATTTCTTATCTTATACATTTATTCCCCTTAATGAATTTGAGCAAAGCAAGAACTGTAGTTTTTGCAGAATAAAGTGATACCATCATTGTTTACTTCGTTGCCTTCTCTTCAGCTGCTTACAGGCGAAAGATATTAATAAATATATCTACAAAAACAATTCTAACATACTTGGACAGAGTTCATTTTAAACAAAAATCAATCGATCAGTATGTGCGTACAGTAATAATATATACATATATATACGTAATATTAAACACTATTCCGAACAATAATAATCATACACAATGGAAACTTTTCAGCATTACGCATTGAGATGAAAAGGAGATGAAAATATCTAGTTACCAGGGCATATAAAGACTGATAACCCCTTCTTTCTGGGCGCATAAATCAGATTTCAGGCGCTAGATAGAGACGGCTTCAGAAAACTTTAGGAGAACTGAACTCTTTCACCTATTGATAATTTTGAACAACTTTTCGATGTCCACCTCATTAGTGACCAGTGTCAAGGAGATGCTTGGTGATGGCACTGTTTAAAGCATTTGTTCCCTTTAGACGTAAGCTTTTTGGTACATGTTCAGAAAATCATAGATATGCCCTTCTTCTTTCTATCCTTCTAATGTAACTGCTCCCGCAGATACATGTAAATTTGTATATACAGTTGGAGTTAACATAAGAAGAATATCTATCGATTTTTGATTGCATCAAAGAGCAAGTTGTTCGATAGACGGGGAGGATGTTCATTGTGGTCTGGGTGGAACGTATGGCTCCAAGTTTGAGCATTGGAGTTTCAGTAGCAGTATGTGTTTGCGAAGTGATGTTGCTAACCTCACGCCGAAACTTCTGTCTTTCTCCAGCTTTCACCCATTGAAAGAGGTAAGGTTTGCAGAAGTCAGCGATTGAATGCTGATCCACGAGCATGGTTGGCGAGCATTCTGACTCTGAACCAGTGATCACCGAGACAATGAACTAGTAGACTTCGAGCGAATACTAACTTAGTGCACTGCCTATTCCATCCCAATCACACGTCAACATCAACAACAATAACACCGCCGGCACACAAAGACAAAAGAAAAGACTGGACGCCTAAAAGAAAGCTTTTACTGTCCCAAACAAAAGTCAAAATGCCAGACAGAGACTCTGTTTATATACATTTAGCAGCCAGTGGGAATTCAGCAATCCAAACAGAGGGAAAAACAAATGGCTGACGCTAGTGCGCGGTAACTCCTTAAAAAAGTTATTTTTAGGTTATAGACAAAATCAAACTAAACTAGGTGCATATAACAGAGCCACCGACGGACAAAATGTTATCCACTAAACCAATTGGTATCCACTTACTCACCAGTAAATCAGTAGTACATACTTCATAAAAATTATCATTTTGTTTCTTGTATGCCATTTATGGTATGGGTCACATCACAGATATGTGTCCGTGGCAAAGAGATAGAATGCTCGTCAACTACGCCTTAGGTGGTTAGAGGTTCACTCCCCGGCAACCGATCCACTTCTTTACCTCGTTAAACTAGTAATAAGACTGATAAAGAGGGACGTCAGGCAGCTTTAATCCTATAGCTTGAAGCTGTATGTTTCACCGGGAACGTATAGGAATAATATAAAATTTGAACGAATAAGATCACATATTTTGATGTGAATGAGCAACTTCGGTTTCTAAAAGGAACTATGATGAAAATCCATCTTCTCGAACTCTGTAATTTTCAAATTGCCAATTTAACTTGCTTAATAGAGAATTTATTCCTATTCTACTTGGAGAGCAATTTGAAATTTATGTATATTAAAATTAAATTTAATAATTGCAATTTACAATTTTTTTGTTTTATTCATATGTCGATGAAAAACCAAAAATAGTAGTATAATAATTTACTTAAAAAATTCTTAATAGACGATGGGAAAATATGTTACGCTTGAATAAATGAAATTAAGGTGGTTTCCATCATGAAATTTGGCATGAAATAAAACTGTCAGTCTACTTTTCATAGATGATGAGTAGTCGTATTTCAACTCACTGTTTCACTCTTTTCTCAGTAATAACTGAAAGGTGAATTTTGTCAGGTTATTTTGTTGATTATGCATTCCTATTACACATGAATAGGTTGATAAATATGTACTTTAAGTTGAAAAAATGTGGGATGTCTTAAATTGAAATACTGAAAAAAGTAAAGCTAACCGTTTTGTGGTAAATTCTTTCGACAGAATACAGGAGAAGCATTCTATCAGGGACTTATCAGCCGGAATAAGCCGAGTCCTTAGTAAACTGACGGTGTTTCTCGTGACATCTCCTTCCCAGATAAAGCGTGACAACTTGGATTAATGTACCTTTATTACTTTCACAAATTTTCCCTATGGTTCCCAGTAGAACATAGGGCTTCAACAACACATCTAAACGTTTTTCTATTTTCTTCTGTGCTCTTCAGATGTGTGAATGTGTGAATGATTGCCCGTCTGTTTTTCTCATGATCTCCTCGTTGTCACTTTGGGACAGACCACTCGTCGTTGGCCATTTGGAATCCACTAGATCGATAGCCTGGCACCCGATGCCATTCGACAGTTTCCTCAAAGTGTACCCGATCCACTTCCATTTTCTTCCACATATTGGCTGAACGATAAGTTCTTGGTTGGTTTGTTGGCAGAGCTTTGTGTTGTTAATTCCTTCTCGGGGGGGCCATTTGATCTTCAACATCGAGTGAAGAGGCAGGTGCTGATAAAAGTCTGCAACAGGCTGCCGAAAGTAGTTTCCGTTTAGGAGAACTAACTGACTGACTTCAAATTTGTGTTGAAGATCTGAATCTTGTTCTTTATACTGGCTGCCTGAGTGAAGCAGATAATTTCCAAACCGATTTCAGATTGATGAAGGAATATCTCGCCTTTCCGACTCCGACTGGCTGGCTGGCTTTGACATCTTTGACATTTTTCGATGACCTGTAGTTGAAACGACGCCACGTAGACAAGTGAAGGAAGTAGCCTCTTTCGAATCTGTCCGGTTGATGGTGCTTTGGTGCTGCTTATTGTTGCTGTTGGCCAGTTGGTTGGTTATCTTCCTCACCACCGTCTTCTCTATGTTCAGCTGGAGTTCTGTCTTGGCTGCACTCCCCCTTATGCTAATTTGTTGGTATTTGCCTACCTGCAAGACTCCGACTTTGTGTGACACTAAGCATAGATTATCCACGCGCGAAATCTAGATCTTCTAGAGTCTTCTTATTGGTCAGTGCATCGTATTCCTTTCTTCTTACTTCCACACACACACAGTGTGACGCATAATCCAGCCCACTACAAATAGGTATATCATCGGTGACTGTAGGTAGTAAGCTTTGTCTTACTCCTGGGTTCAATTAGAACGCCTCGCTGAATTTTCTACTGTAAATCACTTGATATTGCGTATTGAGTGATATTAATATGATATGATATTGAGTGAGGCAAGGTTGTCTACTATCGCGAATGATTTTCCTGATTGCAGTAGATTGGATAATGCGACAGACAACGGGTCAGGGGCAGTGAGGAACTAGGCATAAAATGGACCCACACAAAAAACTTGGAGGATCTGAACCTCACCGATATTATATGTCTGATTTACTACAAACGTTGCAGGATATGCAAGTGAAAAGCAACAAGTTGGTGATAGAAAAAGCATCAAAGATAGGAGACTTCAGGCGAACATAGAGAAAACAGAGATAGGTGATGAAGATTCCTGGCCAACACCAACAGCCACTACAACAACAACAACAACAGACAACAATCAGCATAAATGGGAGGATCCTGAAAGAAACAACCTCCTTTACCTACCTACCTGAGAAGCATCGTTTCAACTACAGGTGGATGGAACTGACGAGGATATCAAAGTCGGAATCGGGAAAGCAAGACAAGCTTTCATTACTCTCAAGTCTGTGTGGAGGTCCACAGCACTCAGCATCAAAAATAACATCCGGAATCTCAACTCCAATGTGAAGTCAGTGCAACTCACTATACGGATCAGAGTCTCAACGCAGTATCATGAAAAGCACTTCGAACAAACTACAGACCTCCATCAACAGCTGTCTTCGCCCAATACTACCCAAGATCAGATAGCTAGCCAGAAAAGA